TTCAAAAATATCCACTAACAAAAATTTTGACTTTGGACTTTAATTAATGGACTTTAATTAAAGTCTGAGCACTTGGAATCAGCATTATTGATTACATTTCTTGAAGGTCGAAAATATGATATCGTAGAGAAAATACAATAGTTATTGATTTTCTGTGCAAAGTCATCGTTCCGATGTACGGCAAAGCCGTGTGAAATCCTTGTTGTAGGAAGCATTTTATGTAACACAGCTGAGTGATGATCATTTTTCCGAATTTTCAAACACATTATTTCAATTTATCTATTTCGGTCGCTGCTGTTTATTCTCATTCTAGCTGCTGTCCGATGCCGCATAAACAAATAACTAAAAATATCTGCACAAATGCGCATCGAAATTCAAGCACCCTGCTGAAGAAAGGAATTTTTTCGTTCTTTTGCGTGCACGCTCTCTCTCTCTCTCTCTCTCTCTCTCTCTCTCTCTCTCTCACTGAGTGTTGTTTGTCAAATTAGTTAAGAAAGTGAATTTTCATCGTTTTTTTTCCTTTAGCTCAACCAAACAGAAAAAAAGAGATTTATTTGTTTGTTAATATGTAAGAGTAGAGGAAAAAATTATACGTTAAAGCGTTAAACCGACGCCCTCGGTGTGTTTCGATTATTTAAAGCCACCGGTTAGATGAATGTTTTTTTTAAACTAGTGTGACTTCGGTCATTTTTCTTTTGTTTCTCTTTCCGTCATTCTCCCTGAAATTCAAATTTACTGTCTAAATTATCTCATTTAAACGAGAGAAAAAAAACACAGTGTCGAACCCATAAAACTGCTGCAAGTCGAGAATATCAGGGGAAATGATAGCATCATTCGGTGCAAATGAGAAAGCAAAAAAAGAAGTCACAAATACAGAGTTAAGAGCCAGTCATAACGCAATGTTCATAATTTGTGAGAATCAGCCGCATTGACACTACACCCGCTCGACGGACGAATGAACGACGAACCGAATGCGATTATTATTGTAGGCAGCATTAGAAAATTCTCTCTCCCAGTTAAAATCCATTTATAAAACTGAATACATTTATGACAAAACAACAACAAAATCAATTTAAATTATATGAAGAAGAATTACATAAAAAAAGAACGCATCAACGATTGAATAACCGTCAGCGTTCTGTGTGCGCTATCCCATATACAATTATTATGTGCAGTTTAACGACTGATGAGTGAGAAAAACTATGGCCAAAATGAATTTGAACGATTTGGTCATTTCGGATGAAACACACAGTAATTATTCAATTGAAAGCATCTAAGCAGACATACAATATCATGACCAATCCGATTTTTTAATCGATTCGCAAAGTAGCCGAGTGAAATTGAAAAGAATCACAACGATGGAAAGAAGATGAAGGAAAGAATGAAAAAAAGGAATCATTGCCATAATACATAACCAACATAATATCCACAAAGACACACTCAAGGAAAATCATTAGAGAGCGAGCGAGCGAGAGAGAGAGAGAGAGAGAATGAGATAGAGGGTTGATTGAGAGAAACAGTCTGAAGACCAGAGTAGCACGATATATTTGCTACGTGAATATCTTTGAATACGTTCACATCGAACGAGAGATCTATAGCAACGTATTTATAGTTAGATTGTGACGGCTATTAAAGAATATTGTTGTTGTTGTTGTTGCTGCTGGTGCTGCTGTGCTGTGCTGTGGCTGTATAGTTCTGTCGTGTATAGTCTACAACGGGCAACGCTGTTCATGCTGTTCATATTTCAAACACGGTGCACACAAAATATAAGCGAGAATCGACCGAGCAAGCCACGAAAAGAACAAATATTTACTAGCTACATTTTCCAACCGTACATCAGTTCAGTGTTGATATCTGTGCGCGTCTGATCGCTTGTGAACTTTCTGCCGTTAAATCCACACATTACTTGAATATTCTCCAAACCTAACGGTTCTGTGCTAAATATCCATTTTTTGAATAAAAAGAATCTAAGGTGAGCATTAAAGTAGCAGACATTTTTTGTTTCGTTTTTTGAATAATTTTTCAAAAGAAATTTTTTTCGTTTAATTTTATCGATTGCTTTGGTGATTTTTCGGGGATTTCTCAAAAAATAAAACAAAATCTCATAAGTGCTTTTGAACATTGAAACGAATGATTGTAATCAATTCTATATTTTTTTGTCTGTAATTTCTTGAAACCGGCGATGCAATTAATTTCTTAAACCCAATTTCATTTGGACAATAAATTTTTTTAAAATTTCGATTTAGTGCCAACGATCCGTTCGTTGTGGTGGATAAAATTGATAGAGTTTTGCTTTCAATTGGGGAAAATCAAGAAAGTTGTTACGTAATTATGGGAAATCCTTCCATGACCATGAAAATAACGATTACTATTTGTTCGGCTGTGATTTTGGTTGGAAATGTGTAAGAAGAACAATATCGAAACACAAGAATGAAAAATGGGGAAAATTGATTTTTTTTTGTTTTATATTTTCATATGAAATACGATTTTAAGGTAGCTTAGCGGATATAAAGGGGTTTTCAATTGGGTACGGGAATCGTTTATATATGTATTAGATGTTTGGCGTGTTTACGAACAATTAATTTTACATTGGTCACAAGCCATTCTTTGTGATTTTAATTGCGTTTCTCTATATGCACATAGTGTGACTCTATATACAAAGTTTACTTGATTCAATGGCTAGCACAATTGATCGAATCGATGGAACTTCCATAGTTCACTATGGCTTAATGCAGTAGGCATACCGTACCGTGCATTTGACTAACACTAGCACCTATATTTATTTCTTCTCTATCCCTCTCTCTCTCTCTCTCTCTCTCTCTCTCTCTCTCTCTCTCTCTCTCTGCTTAGCTATCATTTACGATGATTGTATTAGATGCAGTTAGCGAATGAGGCACAATGAATGGAATGAATAAACATACAAAATAGAAAAAAGAAGAAATAATAATGTGCAATAATGAGAAATACGCAAATTAAAATACACAGCGTTAAATACGAGAAAAGAATTGTATTGATGATGTTGAGCACTGGGCACGTGTTGGTGAACGGATTGGTTTGGTGTGCGTGCACGAATCGAAAAATCGAAAACATTGTTATTTGAAAGAAGGGAAAAAAAACCACACAGAACAAGTAAATGCATCGTATATTCCGACACAGTCGCCTGACATAGTCCGTTGCACATATAATTCTATTGGTGATTACCGTGTTTTGAACAAATACACAGACCAACAAACTAGTCTATAATAGATGATGGTAACGGTTCTTGACCTATCAGTTTTCCATTTGCACGTAACCAGACCGAATTCAATTCAAAAACGAAACAAAAGCAGTGCAGTACTTGCTAACATTTCATGGACATTGGGAAAACGGTAGAACACTTTGTGTGGTCTGAATTTCCGTATTGAATTCGATCCGAGCGAACGGAGAGAAGAGACTGTGTGAATCTCGATTTTTTCTTCACTTCAAATCATTACTTTGTAAATATGAGCACATTGTTGAAACGAAGTGTCTGCCATAAAAATTTAAGATGCTGCCATCAAGCGATGCAACGATTTCGTGTGTCAACCGGAACAATGTCACAATTACAAGCACATTTTCATCATCATCATTCGCATACACATTCCAATTGCGCGCAAATACAAATACCTTTCTTGATGAGCCTACCGTCAAAGTGTCACTACAGGCAAGTTAACAACGACTTTCGTAAGCTAATGCAATTTTATTTCCATTTTCAATGCATTTTGATTGAACTTTTTATCTTCTCATTGTTAGTTTCAATTCGTTGTGTTTGTTTTTTTCTGTCTCGTTTTTTTCCTCTGTCTTCTTCCATTTCTGTTGACGTGTGCACACATGCAGTTCTTTTTCTCTCTCACCAATTCTAAATGTCATTCAGCCTGTGGCAGTCTGTCTCCGCTCATGATTCACTCGGCAGTTTGTATCGAAATTGAATGAAATAGATAGAAGAATATGTGTCAGTTGCACTTGAAAATAATTAAATTTATGATAGTGTGGCTTCAGTGTAGCACAACGAGCAACGAAAAAAAAAACAAACGCTATAGAAAAAAGATGATATACCACTAAGTGTGCACACTGCACAGTGTTGTTTGTTCAGCAAATACAATGTTCACCATTGAATTGAAATTGCAAACTTTAAATCGATGCACGAGCAACGACTGAGTCAAAGCAACCCATGCACATCGTTTACGTAAACAGTGTGCTAGTACCGTTTTGTCTGATCGGTTTTATGTTGTTCGATTGAAGCAAACAAAACTAAAATAACAATCTTCTGATTATGCTCTCTTTTGCTGCGGCAGCAGACATCGCAAATCCAAGTAGAATCAAGTTTTCTGCATGAATATCAAAATGAAATGCGACATTTCTGCCTCTTGTATAAACAAGCACACACTCGCTCAAAGTGTTGAATTACCTGTAAATCTTTTCTTAGAAATTGTGAAATCGACCAAACAACATTTCTTCGCAACACTATCAAAGCCATAATTCATACAAATTATTGACGGCATTCTCAAATATTTATATCGTTTATGGCGGCTTTCAATCGGCATAAATAAACGCTATTAATACATTTGCCTTTGATTATATTTATATTTTATTGATGATATACGCAGCCATCCACAATGTGGATAAACATTTCAAATGATTTCGATATAAGCATAGTTTATACTGGTGCTATTCGTTTTGTCTTTTGTCAAAAAAAAGAGAAGAAGATTGCTTTCAATTGCTTTCCATTCGTCATCAATTAAAACGCAAATGTTAGCGAATCTTTCCGACGAATAATAATCAATTCCAAGAAGCGCTTAATTGAAAAGGCTCCTATGAAACAAAAAAACGAAAACAAAAACGGGCGGCAATTATTATTAAATTTTTTCCAGTCGATTGACAAAAAAAATTGGCAGTTGATGCAGAAAATCTCGGCGGTTTTTCGCTAAAAATAAACAATCGCAACTCGTTATCCAAACGAGTTTAAGTATTATACAATGCATGCCGGTTATGTAAGTGGTATGTTTTTCCTCTTGGTTATGGGAAAATCAAGGCTTTTTCTGTTGATAATGGTGCGACCGTCATAAGACCGACTTTGTTTTTGTTTTTGCTATAATAATTTGCGTCACATGATCCAATCCAATCCTTGCCACATACTCATACATTTGCATTGCAGCAGATGGTGGCGTCGGCGCATTCGCTTACTGCTTGAACTTTTTCCAGACCATGCAACCACACATAATCACACACACACATACATACACAAAAGCCCTGTGCAAAATCCAATTCTGCGCCAATTTTGAAAAATAAACTAAAGTCGATTTTCTGTCGATTTGTGCAAAATTCCTACCATTCACCCCATCTCAATATAATGATCAAATGGTTGATGACATAAAGCGATAGGAGAAGGTTGAAACAATTTGATCTAGTCGTTATCGGCTACGTTTTGAATGGGATCTATTCAGCTATTTGAATAAGTGTGAGTGAAAGGTAGAGATAGAATGCACTTCTGGCAATAATCAAAGGATTTGTTATGCGGCACCATATGGTCTGATGTTCGGTGGTGATAGCAAGAATAAGACGAATTCAAGGTTGGTCAAGTGGACGATATGTATGGACAGAGACAGAGAGGGAGAGTGCGAGAAAGAGATAGAGCAAAAGGGAGAAGGAGAGAGAGGGAGAGTGCACTTTGAATCGATTTCGGAGAGCATCTCTCATGTGGATGAAAACCCATTACATAACTGTTGCATAATAGATGTCGACGCTCTCGCATTCTTTCGCATATCAAATGCGACAAAACTGAAATGAAAATGTTGAAAATCTCTTTGATAGATTTTTCTGCTGCTGAATATTCATTTTTAAAATCACACTTCCACTTCAATAATGTAGAGGAGCTTGTGCGTGTATTTTTGTTTATTCGGTTGAAGAAAGCAAAAGAAAGAACTTTTCCGACTGCCGCTATTGGTGTGCCGCTTATTATGTAACTCGTCGGTTGTAGTTTTTATTTTCACAATTTCAACAGCGCCTGATGAGAAGTGAACGTAACAAAGAAAAGAGAAGGTCAGTAGAAAAACGTTGAAAAAACGTGCCAAAACAGCAAAAATTTTGTCATTTTCGGCTGAATTTCCGGTTTGGCGTGATGACAAAAATCTTCTGCTGGTGATGGATCGTTGAAAACAGATGAAAATAATTGCTAATGGCCGTCATATACAGCTTAATCTGCCATCGACCTAAACGAAAAAAAAACCGCTGTGTAGCAAAGAAAAATATCCACGATAAACAAATTCACGATGAACTTTTGAATCTTTTGTTTGTTTTTTTTTTAAATATTTTCCACAAAATATATTCGTTTACGTTACGAAACACCGTGTGTGACGATATGAATAAACAAATCACACCCACACCCGTTTTAAATCATATGATTTGAGATGCTGGTAAAAATCTTACGACCGTTGTCAGTTTTGCCCAAAACGAAAAGCAAAAACGAAAATAATTTGGAAATTTTCCAACCGAACAGTTGATAACAAACACATTGGCTTTATTTATTTTTATATCGAAATTGATGAAAAAAACAAACCACATCTAGTGTTTTATTATTCAATATCTTCGGGAAAAAGAATAATCAAGTTTTTCAGCGTTAATGAATGAACAACTTCATCAAATTTCCAATAAGTGTGGAAATCATGACACATGGCAGGTGTCCAAAGTCTGAATATTTGATGAGAAAACCCCAAAATAACTATATTTTTTTCCTAAAGTTTTGAATAATTTATGGCTGTTTTGAAGAAGAAAAAAAAAACGAAATTCTGATTGTTTTCAAAGACACTTGAAACGTTCTATATCTTGAAGTGGATTGAATTTTCAAAAGCAAGTGATTTTATCGCTTCGTCGAAAATCAATCAGCGCAAGACAACTATCGTGACCCATCAAGCGAGTCCTCGAGTTTGAATGAGTGATCGAACATAATGAATTCGACTGAAATGAACTTGAACTTAAGCCATACACTAATTCATTTACTGTCAATCGATAAGTAGTGTAACACTACACAAAACCCATTAAATCATGTACGAACAAGAAAAAAAAACCACACCACAGGACACGTCAAACAGAGAAAATCGAGAAAAAAGAAATGTGAAAAAAATAATTATCGTTCGTTAACCGTTTACCGCGCACTTTTTCTTTATGAAAATGTATAGGGGAAATGAATTGTAAATGAGTCTCAAATAGAATGAAGTGAAGCTGAAAAGTCGAAAATGAAGCATTTTCACATTAATGCGACAAAGGAGTCATTTTTCAGCTGTTCGAGACACAACGCTAAAGAGCATTTTTATTAGATGTGGCAAATGCCCGGGCCAAATTGCAACATTCGAAATACCTTAAAATATCATCGGTTTGGTGCGGTATCGGTTGTTCTTGTTGTTGTTTTTGTTCGCGTGATTCGGTCGATTCACGAAACCGTCTACCGGCTAACAAACGACTGAAAATACACATACACACACAAATCGCTTTTATGAGATTTTAATGATGAACCGAAAATAGTTCAAAAACCGGCTAGCTGCTACACATTATGAATACCATTTTCCATTTAACGATTTTCTCCGTTTTCCATTTCCCACCCATTTCGTCGCATGTTCGTTCAAATGGTTCACAATAGTTGTGGAATCGTTTTTGCATCGTTGTTTCAAACGATCAACTGCATAACGAATTTAGTGAAGTAATAAAAAACAATCAATAAATCGGAATTTCCGATGCTAAATAATTAATGGGAATCCTTGTGGATTTTTCCAAATGTACGTTAAATTTTCGTTCACATGCCGAATTATTGAACTGTCAATCGATTAGGCAGCATTAACCGTATAGTATTTCCTTTTCAAAATTGTCAACGCCCATCGAATTAAAAGCGAAACCAAGCAGTAATGCATTTATGTCATATGTATGTTGGTAAATCGACGAAAAATTGGTAAAATTACCAATTTGAGTTCGTGTCTATTTCAAAGGCATAAAACCCAGATTGAGTGTGTGTGTGTGCTGCACATACACAATATCGCTATAAATTACTATGTTCATGCGCTTGTTGTAATGAAAATAAAAGCTTCAGTAAGAAGCTGTTTCACTTTTTAGCCATTTCCACCGCGTCTACTACATGCATCGGATAGGTGATTTATTTTTAACTTTGATTTCGGTGCTCTTCTTCATCACTCGTTGTTTATGTGTAGTTTTTTTTTCGATCGCTCGTCAAAGGCCGTCTAGCGAATTTAAATGTTTCAAATGCGACAAACGAGACATTTGATATCTCGTTTCAAATGTGCAACATAATACACACACATATAATCGCCCCCCGATTAAAAACCGCGATGCGATGTCACATTTTATTCGTCAAATTAAACAAACGAAGTGAATACAATTCAATTTTGAATCACATTTAATGCCAATAATTGTGTAAAGCGTAGACCAAAATGAAGAGCATATTGAAAAAAATCAACCAGACAAATTCAAGCAAACACACAAACCATATGTATTTTTAGCAAACGGAATACAAGAGCAACACAGTATACTGTTGTGCAGGATGCACACAATACACCGTTTGATTACACACACTCGAAATGAGATCAACCGTTGAGATAAAAATCAATAACAATTCGACTAATGCAACAGTGCAAATTGCTTTGTTATTGCATCAATAAACATAGGATTGCACAATACAAGGCCAAAATATCATTATTCTCAAGCAATCAATAAATTCAGTAGAAAAAAAAGTAAATAAAAAGGCCCCCAGACATTCCTTTTGATTTTCTCATCTCGATGTAATGCTGGCGGCTACTCACATTTCTGAGAAATATTCGAATATCGCATGTAATTGAAAATAGTTTAGAATTGAAAAAACCATGCTACACGCATCAAATGAGAACAAATCAAATGAAATGCGTGAGTTATCCGTACAATGATGACAACAAAAAAACACAGTGCGTTTCGTTTTGCCCGCATTGATATGCGGATTTTGTGAGTGTGTGTTTGTGTGTGTGGACAAAGAGGCTAACAATCGAGGGAGAATGAGACAGCAAGATGCTGACAGATCTAAGCCAAGCCAATTGCACGCAAACCGACAACGACGAAGGAAGAATTTCATTTAAATTAATTGAACAATTTGGTTCATTTTACGTCTTTGAAATGCAAATATTGAGCAAGAGCGAGAAGGTTTATTCGCGCGCACATCCGTTGTGATGGAATTAATTTTCGGCATTTCTGCGGAATATAATGAAAAATATGTTTTACAATTAGTTAGAAGAGCTCAAAATCGATTGAAAAAAGCGACACGATCTCGGCTTCAATTGACCGTAAATTTAGCTTGATTTTCCATTGCTTAGTCAAATAATATTTTATATTTTTGATTGCGGCTTTACAAACTGAAAGAAAAAAAGATTAAAAGTACAGAGAGAGAGAGAGAGAGAGAGAGAGAGAGAGAGAGAGAGAGAAAGAGAGAGAGAGAGAGAGAGAGAGAGAGAGAGCCATGTAATATATGTAATAGGCCATTAAATTTGCCAGAGTGGTCAATATCATTTATCTTAGGCGTGTGTGTGTGTGTGTGTGTGTGTGTGTGTGCCATTTCATATTTATTGATTTTATGACGCGCGTTAACGTGTTGCGCGTAAATTTACACGATTTCAAATCGGTTCGTTTGAGCGGAAAATGCGATTTTCCTCGATAAGTTGCGTGATTATGGTTAGTATTCGTGAAAATCGGCCACTTTTTGCGCTCGAGATCCGTGTATTTGCTGTCTCATTCGTTGTTTTCAATTTGGCATTTTTCCATGTTTTTTTTTAAATTTTGCTTCCCTCCTTTTTGTTCGCGACTGTCTAGTATAAACATCGATCCATATTCGAAGTCTAAAAAAAAACAATGATGGATCGCGACAGTATGATGTTTACATTTATTTTCATTTTGGATTTCAAACCACGCAATCAACGAACGAATTTGTGTCTGATGAACGATTGGGTTTCGTGATAAGCGACCGGGCCCAGACCGGAACATAAATTATTGTTCCATATATTTTGAATAACGCAATGGGCATTGTTGTTAATTTGAAATCATGTTATAGAGACAATATTGACAGAGAGCGCGCCATACGATGAGCCCCATCGCCTTTCGAATGCAAAACAGTTCCTATTTATCGATTCATTGATCTGAATTCGCCCCGGTGGGAATTGGCGGATTTTCAGTCCGAATGAATGAATGAATGAGTCACGTAAGTACACAAGCCAAGTGTGAATTGTTCGGTTACGTGTGTGAAATACAGTTTTTTGAAAAATTCAAACTCATTTCCCGCTTGTTGAAATCATTCATGCAGACACAGCAGCAACAAATGCACACACACACACACACACACACACACACACTCACGTACAAGTACACACATCAATAATATTTTTCGCACCATACACCCATTCGTACATGGTTAAATTTCACTTGGAACGGTGTTTTTCTATCGGTTTCGAATCGTTTTTCTCCTTAGACATGACAAATACAACGGCATGGGGTATTGCAATACATGAACATCCGAAAATTGGCGATGCGATGTGACTCAGGGATTTTTCACTTGAAAATGTTGGCAGCTCTGTGTATCTCTAAGCGTTTCTATTCTAACTGTATAAATGCAATGTTGGAACTTTCGACTTTGGAAATGTTTCCCCTACACGAACGCATTCTCTTTGGCTTCGGTGACAATGACAACTGCACCACAAAAGAAGAAAATAAAGTAAAAACCGGTTGGCATGATAATTAAATTCAAATGGAATTGCTTAGTAGCAAATCTGTCGCGCGAAGAATGAAGGGAAGCGCAACATTTCGTGCCTATTTTCCATTCGGCAGTCACTTTGATAAATGACATTCGAAGTCGTACCGTTATATGGGAAGATTGCTTTTTGGGTGCGGCTCAAATCGCACTCGACATTGGCATAGATATATAAATATATGCATGTTTACATCCAACGATGACTATACATAAATAAGCAGACATTATGCCGACAGAGAACGAGAGTTCTGATCAATTTTACAACGTTTTTTTATCTCTATCTCTCTCTCTCTCTGAATCGGGTGGCGCGCGCGATGGAAAAAAGGCCGAGAATTTTCCACTTTTTCCCATTCGTTCTTTCTTTTAACAAAAGTTTTGTTGATCTTATTTTCATACAGTGCAAATCAATGTCGGTGCGCAATGGTCTTTCTTCCACCGCACCACATATATTCCGAATTACGCACACACCGACGAAAAAAACACACAATGAACATTTGGAAAACACACAAAAACTAAGAAGGAATAGAAAAGCCTGAAATGTACGTATCATCAACTGACGCTCGGGCTTTCTCACTCTCTCTTGCGCACCACTCTCTATATGTCTCTCACTCTTTTTCGAACCATACAATATTGCAGCACCCGTGTGTTGTTGTTACCGCTATCGGGTACGCGAATACCGTTTTCAGTTTTCGATTTGTTATAGAACGGAACGAACGCACAATAGGGTATTAGGATTGCACATTTCGGTCGTCGTTTGTATTTCCTTAACAGTGAAGACACATCGTGAATGTAAATTGTTGAGTGCAACGGTTTTTCGTTTCCTTTAACAAAAAGTGCGATTATAACACAGTGAGATAGAGTGTATGGAACGAGATTATTTTCCGTTCAAATGTAAACCAATAGATTTGAAAATCGAATAGCGACCAATGAGCACGTAATTCGCACAATGACTCAATTGTGGAAATTGAATGATTGTAGAGTGTAAAACATACACCCAAAAATCAAAAAACATACAAACGAGAGAGCTGATGTTTGTTGGAATACCATTGTTTTTGCCGAAATGCGAGATGAAAACACAAGAAACAAAACTCATAGGAATCTGTGTAAACCGAACAATAATCCGAGAACTTCCGTGTTTGGCCCATTTTCAAAACACATGCACATTTTAACTGCGATTTTTATCTTTTTCTGTAATCTTCATTCAGTCACCAAATGACTGCCTATTCAAGAAAATCTAATACAAATAAATTTAAAATCAGTTGAATCGGAAATATTCCATTGTGAAGCGAAGCGCATTGAATATATAATCAGAACTCAGCGCTTTCAAAAACAATTACCACAATTTGCTGATTGAGTGTAATTATGACTTGTATGCAAATATTCATATGACTTTTCGTGACTGTTTGTTGAAATGGTGCGATAAACGTTGAGTCAGCCGTGAATAATAATTATAATGGTAGCCATAACATGGGCCAAGTACAGGTTGTAGAAAAAAAATGCCCCTCCGATGGCAAATTGTAGTGATTGTCAAAATCAAAAACTGTAGCAAATTAATCGCCAAAATCAAAGTGCTAAACAAATCAGACAGCTAATAACAAGTATGAGAAGAGAAGAGAAGAGAAGAGCATACACAAACACACATTGCCATTGTTTTTTACAAACGGTGAAATTGAATCGATGAGCTTGAATTTCAGTTACGTATGCAAACATCAGGCCAAAAAATCACAATCGCGTATCGAGTGCTTGGCGTAACGTTCATGTTGTGTCTTGTTTGAACATAAAAACACTTGGTTTCGGTTGTGTTTTTTTTTCTTTCACTCTCCCTCTCTTTCTCTCACTTTGTTTTCTTGCAAAAGAAAAAATGCATTTCATTCCATTAATATGCAGTAAAAATCAGTTCAGGTTATCAAACCCAATATTCATTTTCATGTTCTATATTAGCGCATAAATACCATTCGTTTCGAATGAAATTCAAAGTGATTTCAATCATCGAAACAACCTTTGTTGGTTTGGCATGAAATAAGAGCCATCACAGTTGGTATACACAAACGTTAGACACACGGTCAAATGACGGTTCTCGGATTAAAAATTCGGAAATGTTTGCTATTGTGTGCATGTATATGTGTGAACGTGTCTGCGCGCCCAAAATTTCGTTCGAAATTCAACCGATGAAAACGCGCGCGCTCGTGTGTTAGTATTTGTGCGTTTTTTTCCATCTTCGAGTGCTGTCGGTTGCCCGCCGTTTTTAGAGGCATGAAATTTTGAAATGAAAATTTACACCAACAAATATACACACACACACAAACAAAGCCGAAATTCGGGGGAAAAAAAGACTAGATATTCGAGATGAATACATACGCACACAGTCACATCCCTTACACAGAGAGAAAGTGAATGCGGCAAAGAGCAAATACGATTCAACTGTACCGATACAAAATGATTCGACGATCCGAAAGGAGCAAACACTGAACAAATAAACAGAGAAAATGTATGTGGAAAAGCTGGTTTGGTTTCATTCGGTGGTGCTCTGCGTATGTTAGGCTCTTGCTCTCTTTCGGTCGACTATATAAAAAATGGAGAGTTTGAATCGGGTGCAGGCTAACTCGGTCGGAGCGAGATAGCAGCATTGATAACACAAGGGGAAAAGCAATCAGTTTCTCGTTCTGTGTGTTCCGACACACTCTCTCTCTCTCTCTGTCGCGCAATGGTGTGTTGTTGCGATGCGTATGTGCCTTCGTGTTTTTCGGTGTACCGTACCGATTTCATTTCATTCTCTCATTTTGGTTGTTTTTCCTCCTCTCTACTTCATCGTTGTAACTCGCGCGCGTTGTATTGTGTAGTTCGAATCGACACAACACATACAACACCAAAAACGGACCAAAATCATCAGGCCGAGTCCAGTGTGAATTCGCCTATAGTGTTGGATGCGTGCAAACGTTTCGATATATATACATAGGTTGTGTGTGCGTGCTCGTTCTGTCCTTTCCATTTTCGCCCATCGAGTCCATATTTGAATTTCGCTTCTTGTAATCACAGTGTGAAAAATCTTTTCTACGTAAAATTTGTTTGTGTGTTTTTTTTCTCTCTACTAACTCAAAACAGAAAGGCCGGCAATTAGAAAATTCTTGAAGCGGATAAAAATAGGGATAAACCAAACTTACATTTGATAAGCGTTAAGTTTTTTTTTCTATTTTTACACGACTAACAAAAATAAAAGTAACGCCAAAAAAGAAGAAGAAACAAAATTAGCGAATAATCAAATTTTTAAACAAATCGCGAAAAAGTTTTTAAACGTAGTGAAATTAGAGAACCAAAAAAAAAGATTAGACCAAAGAATTTGTTCCACAAAAACAACGTGAAATTTTTGAAAAAATGGGTGGTTGTGCATCAAAAGATAAAAAGGATAAAACAGTTGAAGAAGATGGTACAGCTGGCGGTATCGAAGGGTGTGTATCAAACTCGATGGTATTCTTAGCGAGGTAACTGTGCAGCAGCGGCTTTATCATTCAGTCGCTCTTGTCAGCCGATTGCGTGTATCATTTCATATTCGGGACCCATGTTTATGCGTGAATTATTTTGGCTCGAATCTTGTTTTTTTTTTCTTATATTTGCCTCTTCTTTTATTTCATCTTGCGTTTTAACTCGTTGGCGGCAATGTTCGAAACGAATAACGATGACCGAACATTTTGACTTTGCACAATTTGCGTTGATGTCATTCGCATTGATTATGTTGAAATAGTGAAATGGTTCGAATTGTCTCTTTTGGGAAATTGTTGCCCTGCTTTTTTTCTTTCATTTTGCTGTTGATGAAATCAAAATTACAGTCCGACATGAAAATGTTTGTTCGGTTTGTGGCTTTTGAGAGCGCGCGCGCGCGATTTCATGTTACCAAAAACACGAGGTGGATGGATGTTGCTAAGTCGAAAGCCATTTAGACGTTTCGGTGGTGCATGAGTGTATGATCTTTTTGTTCATCAGCCGAGGTGGTTGCTTGGATGCGTGCATGCGTGCGTGTGTGTGTGCGTGCATGCATGCATATGTGTGTTTGCGTGACTGTTTGACTGTATGTGTATGCGACTTTTGCTGTTGTTATTGGGTTACTGCTCTGATTGCACACATATACAGTGACAGTGTAGCCAAAATAGAATTGTTGAAAAAAAAAGTGAAGAAGTAGACGATGAACCACCACCACCGAACTAGTTTTTCGTCGCTGATTTCTTCATTGTCACTAATGTGATGATGCCTGTTATCTAAACACTGTACAGTGTACAGTCCGTATTGACTCAACATGAACAGAAATGTGTCATTCACTGTCGATATGATTTTTTTATGATTATTTTTATGTCCTTTTTTCGGTTTGGTTGGGTCGCCCAATAACTTTTCAAGGATAAATAGAACTATTTCGCTTTGAATGGATTACGTCAGATAGCGAATTTTCGGTGCGAATAGGAAATTCGTTACATTTCATTCGTTTTCTATGGATAGTAATTGCTTTCGCCTCGTTGTCTACCGAAAAACACAAAGCAATCGTTTGCCTATTATTTTAAAGAGTGGTTTCCTTTCGTTTTGATTGAAAAACAACGACAAATCATCCGTTGAATGGCATTTATTTATGTATGTTTTTTGTCTCTTTTAATTACAGCAATAAATCCGAAGCCATGGTTGATGCTGCTGTTTTGGAAAAATTGGAAGCTGGTTTCACCAAGCTTGCCGCCTCCGACTCAAAGTCATTGTTGAAGAAGCACTTGTCACGCGAAGTCTTCGATAAGCTTAAGAACAAGAAGACCTCCTTTGGATCAACTTTGTTGGACTGCATCCAATCGGGTATTGAAAACTTGGACTCTGGATTCGGTATCTATGCCCCAGATGCTGAAGCCTACACAGTTTTCGCTGACATTTTCGATCCAATGATCGAAGACTATCATGGTTTCGCTAAAGATGCCAAGCATCCACCACGTGACTTCGGTGATATCAACTCATTCCCCAATGTTGACCCAACTGGTGAATATGTTGTATCGACCCGTGTCCGTTGCGGTCGCTCAATGGAAGGTTACTCATTCAACCCATGCTTGACCGAAGCCCAATACAAAGAAATGGAGGAAAAAGTTAGCTCAACATTGAGCGGTTTGGAAGGTGGATTGAAAGGCAAATACTATCCATTGACCGGAATGACCAAGGAAGTTCAACAACAATTGATCGATGACCATTTCTTGTTCAAGGAAGGTGATCGCTTCTTGCAAGCCGCTAACGCATGGTAAATTCTAATCGCATCGATTGACACATTGCAATTTTGATATTAATAAACGGTTTTCGTTTGTTTTCTTCCTATAGCCGTTTCTGGCCAACTGGTCGTGGTATCTATCACAATGACGAAAAAACCTTCTTGGTCTGGTGCAACGAAGAAGATCATTTGCGTATCATTTCCATGCAAAAAGGTGGTGACTTGGGTGAAGTCTACCGTCGTTTGGTGAACGCTGTCAACGACATCGAAAAGCGCATCCCATTCTCACATCACGAACGTCTTGGTTTCCTCACCTTCTGTCCAACCAACTTGGGAACTACCATCCGTGCTTCAGTGCACATTAAAGTACCAAAATTGGCCAAGGTAAGCATATCGTGTGCGGATTTTTTTCTACTATTTGGCAACGGCTCATTTTCATCTTCACTAATTTATTTAATAATCCAACTAATCAAATTAAGTGTGCATTTGATTATTTTCCAGGACTACGCCAAGTTGGAAGAAGTTGCCGGCAAATACAATTTGCAAGTTCGTGGTACATCTGGTGAACATTCAGAATCGATTGGAGGAATCTACGATATCTCCAACAAGCGTCGTTTGGGCTTGACTGAATACCAAGCCGTCAAGGAAATGTCAGATGGTATCCTTGAGCTCATCAAGATCGAAGCTAGCTTGTAAATGGCTTGAGACTTCCCACCAACCGCGCCCAAGAGTTCGATTGATTCGAATTGTTTTTATTTTCACACTCAACAATTAGCTAATTGGCAATAAATGAATTAAAAAAAACAACAACAACAACAGCAGCAAATAAAATAAAACCAAACTACACACTAACAACCACTTGTAGTTTAAATAATAAAATACACGGAATGGCAGCCAAAAGCATCGCTTTTTGAGCATCGAACAATTTATTATTATTATCTCTTATAATTTATGCTTTAAAAAGATGAATAAAAAGAACTCTATCTAATAATGAAAAACCAACAAAACATACAACCAAAATCAAAATTTGAATGTAACACTGTATTCGTTTTATTTTGATGGACTTAAAAACTACAAATTCAAATGGAACATGAACAGCATTACCAAAAAAAAGTGAATTAATTAATAAAGTAAAAAAAAACACATTTATTTAAAATCAACATCGAGTTGCGTTTTATTTCGGATATTTTTTTTATTTTGTATTTTCATTTGACCATTTTTCTGTGGTTATTTTTCTTATGAAATTCGAATCGAATTGCATATTTTTCAGGCAAAAAGAAAAACCTTCATTTAGTTCATGGTGAAATCACAGTAAATGTTGATCACTATATCAAATTACCTTTGTAACGTTTTTGCATCTTTCGCTTGTAGAATTTTACACAAAAGCTGAAAGCTGAAAGCTGTTTGAAGCTTCATCAAAACGTTTACGATTAATTTTTTTTTGTAAACTGACGTGAGATAAATTTAAATTTTGTGAAAAAATATTTCTCCAAAAACTTGATTTAATGAATGCTCAATTGCGCCCATATTTTTTCTCGATTCAAATTAGAATCAAAGTGTAAAATGGTCGGTTGTAAGGTTTTCGCATCGAAAAGTTTATGGAGAATGATGGAGACACACACACACAGAGAGAGAGAGAGGCGACGACGTAATGGCAATCCGTATTCTCCACACGAGTGATTCGTATAAGACTGCATAGATGTTTGTGTGTTGAGCGAGCACTCGCTCAACCGGAGTCATAAATGCAGATGGTGTGTGAGTGTATGCGCGTTGAAAATGTTGATAGTGTGCGTTGGTGATTCGTAGTATGCACGGTTTTTTCTGCCGTTTTGCTCGTCAACTCCAAAGTTGTAGTGCTGTGTTGAATGCTCACACCTACACAATACAACAACAACGAACCAAAAATTATTATGTATACCCAAATCGACAAGAGAGAGAGAAAAAAAATGAACGAAGCTTTTTTTTTCCACACACGTACTGAGTGAGTCTCTCTTCGCAGCCAGTTCATTTTCAGTTGTTCGATCTGAACATTTTTGACAGATTGAAGCAAATAGTCAAATCGAATAGGTTATTTTTGCACAATAATCGACGTTTTTCTTTAATTTTTTAATTTTTTACTTTTTCATCTGGAACGAAATAATCGAGAAATTTGATCAACTCCAGACTCAACTGAAACACACATCGCACCGAAATCTATTCATAGCAGTTTTTTTTAGCAGTGGTGACAGGCAACAGAAAGAAGAAGAAAAAACTCCAGCAAAGAAATCATGCAAATTTAGATGAAAAAGGGAATATTACCACCACACCACCACCAGCAACAACATCAAAAAATAAAACAAAATAAAGTTATTTGTGTCAGTTATTTTGTTTTGGGTTCTCGTGTTTCTCTTTCTCCTATACCTGACACCGTAATTCCGATGCAATTTATTCGTTTCGTTTTGTGTTGTGTGATTGTATAGTTGATGTGCTCTTATGTGTACTTCTCTTGCTCGTTCGCTCTCTCATTCTCTCTCGATCGTGTAATTCGCGTGTATGCTCCTAATTTGTTTTGTTGTTTAAAATGAATGAATAGGCAAATTGCACATAAAATTCAAATTGTTAATGCCAAAATAAGAGAGAAAATATTCAAGTGAACTGAGCAAAAACAAAATAAAAGCAAGAGAGAGAGAGAGAGAGAGAAAAAAAACCAAACCAAACCAAACCAAACAAATAAACAACAAACCAGCAGCGAATCGCGATTTTCATCAATTTTTTGTTGTTCGAGTCTACACCGTGCTATATTGCAATTGGATTATATTGCCAGTGACGAAAAGGGGCACGAAAACAAACGTGTGGATGACTTGAATGTTGTACCAGCCAAAAGACAAAGTGAGACGAGTCCCAAGGAAAACAGTGCTCAAGCCTGGTGCCATTCAGCAAAGAAACCAGTGCGATTGATGAATCAGTGAACCAGTTATTTGTTGGCGAAGAAAATTATCAAAGAAAAAAAAAGTTGGAGCGAAAAGAGGAAGTGTTTGTTTTTATTTGATTTTCGGTGTAAATGCAAAAAAAAGTTCAGCTGTGATACAATAGAAATAAAAATTTGTTGAATTTGACATTGGATATCTTTTGTGAGAATCGTTAAGGAGTTAAAGTGCAATCAGAGCAGCGTAACGTGAAATTACAACACGATTTTCATCAGTAAATAAGTCAATTGTTTTTTTTTTCTGTTTTGTTTGGAGCAAGCAATTCATTGATCGAAATCGGGCAGCCAAATTACAAGCCAGATCAGCCGAGACCATTTATGCGCAAAGTGACCATAGAACTAGAGAGAAAAAGAATCTAACCAGCATCAACATTAGCAACCAAAACCAGAAGAGTTCACTGTTATACGAGTCAATCATACCGTGTGCTTGTACCATTTTTTCGCCACACATTGACGTACATACGTACTAACTCACATTTGTACCTAATAGAATAAAGAGCAGCAGCAGCAATCACCACATTACTTCATATACACCGAACATCGTCTGGAAAGAGACACAAGTGTCCGGGGCGAGTGGAAAAGCAGTTGACGTTACTTTGAAACCCTTTATTCGTTATATTTTTTGGGGTTATTCAAATAGAAAAGGTAGGTCAAACTCACGATTCATGAACCAGTTTTTGTTTGTAACAAATTTTCGAAGAAAAAAAAAACAAGCGAAACCGTCGAAGAAATTGTGAGTGATTCAAATGTATTGGCTGCTTACCCCCTACATAGCACATGTCATTTCGAAGTACTTGTTCCATGTGTATTCTAAGTAATGTAAAGAAAAACTGACGACAACACATCGAGTACAACTGTAAGCGATTGGTGCTTGCGAGCGTATTATCCATTCAAAATAACATTTATTAGTGGCGCTCAATCATCATTATTCAATTGTCTTTAGCTTCTGAAATATTATTGGAACGAATCGTCCTCGTTTTATAAAAAACGAAAAAATAAATGACATAAACATTCACTCACAGCGACACGCATACTGTGTACAACTCGAGTACAACTTTATCCAAAACGAACAACTGACAAACAACAACAACAACAATAACAACCACCAGGAACATTTTTAAGATTGACAAGACGGTTTTATTAATAGCAAATCAAGCATTGTGAATGATTCGATTGTTACTGTTACTAGTTTTTTTTTTCTTCAACGAATACAAAATATTAATCAACTCATTGAACTAAAATAGAATGAGCAAAACCGTAGAACAAAAAAGACAGTCAAAGTATTTGGTTTGACGTAATTTAGGTTAATTAGAACGCAGGTGATTTTTAATGAATGCACATGCGTCTCCTGAGATTCATCCGTGTATTTGATTAGCGACAACACGTGAATGGCCCGAAACGCGTACGAAATTCAATTATCAAAAATGGTCACACACACACACAAACGCCACAAACAAAAAAACAAAAAAATCGTACTAACGAAATAGTAATGAATCTAACTAACTACTTTGGAATGCTAATTTATGTCACCCTCATTTCCATCGATTCTTCGCTACTACGCATATAAATTAATAACTCATTAATTAAAGAAACATGTATGAACCGCATCGTGTCTTAAGCTGCACAAAGCGTGCAGGTGTGAAAAACAAACAAAGCTGAATTACGGCAAATTAAAGCGAGTGAGCTGCTTTACAGCCGAGCCAATTAACAGTGTCGATGTTTAAAATCCAATTTATTTTGAATTTTTGCCGTATGCGCGCGATAATGGGTGAATTGGGAATCAGAATGGCCCAAAACAATCGAAAAACTGATTGAAAAGTACACGTCATCATACACAGCGTTGTGGAATATTCCATCCCGATAAACGAAAAAAAAACACCCTTTGACAAAAACAAACAGAACAATAAAAAAAATGTGCATTTTCGTCTTGATATTTCAAGTGAGAATATTGTCCCATTCATCGATAGCACTGTTTGCTATCAAGATATTGATAAAAAAAGGTTGTTCGTTGTTCTTTTCGTTTCTGTTTTTTTCTATTTATGTTGCTCGTTGAACGCTGTAATTTATTGATTCTTATTTCGACTACTGACGTGACGCCAATCGTGCATCATTTCCAAACTAGAGATTAGATAGGCCTTAATAGCACAAAGCCTCTGGTTGATTTTGGTTGTTTGTGTCAATCGCTAAGACACATTTGCAGTTGAGTCAGTGTAGTAACATAAGCGATTCTTTGCCTTTTGTCGTACTTTTATTTTCCTTCGCTTTCTTTTCAATTTAGAACCGATTTAATTTGGATTTGTGGAAGCAATAAGCTTGCAATTATGCCACGTACACGTGTGTGTGTATTATCGTATTAAAAAGAAAATAAAAACCATGAAATGTGTTGTAAACTGTGAAACTAGAATTTAAAAGATTCAGTATATTCGATTTGAAATAGAGTTGAGTGCGGTCTAGTTTCCAGTTTGACGACCTGGTAAAAATGACCGCGTGCGCCATTCAGTTTCGTTCGATTTTGGCCGATCGCATCACATTCGAAAAGACACCGAGAGAATAAACCGTAACAACCGAAATCTGATCTGTATGTGTGTTATCGAAGCATTGAAACTAATTAGAGAAGCCATAAAGGGATGGAAAAATGAGAATGAAGCATTAGAAAAACCAAAACTCGAACAACGCGGTGTCGATTATGAAGTCGAACACCGTACAGCGATAATTTGCGACTATGAAATCGGTTAACTTTTCAATTCTATGGGCGCTGCCATATTGAAAATTTACGTGCGATATGGTGCACGCACTCAATAGTTCCACTTATTTTAATAAGGAATCTCTATAGGTGGCGCTGCCACATCGTCATTGACATCGAGTCAAATATTGTCAAATATAATAACATTGTTTATATAGGCTTTTATCGCAGTACGTCGAACACCGATCGCGCGAATAAAATGTTCTTGATATTATGAGCATGAATTTAGAACTAGCAAAAGTCCACTTCTGAATTATTACTACGAAGTATTAATCTTTCTAAATGTCAAAACAAACAAAAAACAGAAAAGAATAACAGAATAATGAGAGAAAGAGAGAGAGAGAGAGAGAGAGAGAAACGTGAATAATTTTGCCGAGTCATTTCGTGTTAGTGCGAGTGTCAACCATCAATGGATGGTGTTTACGAACGAGTATTTTCATGATTTCTTCTTTGCTGTCGCTGCTATTGCTTCTGCTGTCGAGCTCTTATCGTAGAAATTTTTTAACCCGAAGAGCGCATAGCCGTATAACAGTGCACAGAGAAGCAAAGAAAAACACCAGCATAAAGTACGAACGAAAAAGTCACACCGAAAATGAGCATATTTTGCTCATGACTTCATTCATATTAAATTTCAAATAATCTCATTAAATAGAGGGAGACAACAGTAAAAACCGACAACCACATTTATAATATGGGCAAAACGATCATTAATTTATGTATAAGTTAAGCTCGTCATACAGCCAAGAAAATAACAGCGACGGCGTCAGCAAACCATTTGTTGTTGTCGACTATTCTTCTTTTTCTTTCGGTCGTTTGGTTTTTCGCTCTCGTTCACACATACGTTCACGCTCCACGCTCTATCGTGCGCTACACAAATGACAAATAGTTTGTAACAACACTCAAACACTTACGCATTTCGAATGACTCACGTAATGTAACATTTAACAATCTACTCGAAATCTATTTATGGTAACTAGTTTTCGCTCATGAGTGGATCTTATCCAAGGGGCCTTGAACACCGCAAATCAAAGTCATTCTCTTCTTTTTTTTTCTGATACAAACGAAACAATGGAATTTTGAAATCCAAATTCATTTCGAGATACTTTTTTTTTCTCACAAAAAAAAATCACATTTTACATTGAAATTAAGATGTAGAAAAACAAATGAGCAATCAACAAAGCATGCCCGTGTTCAGGTTGTTTGACAGTGACTTTTAATCACTTCAATCTTGTTCCAATTTGCGTCGTACAAACATCTATTCCGCTAAAAATGATTCACACTAATTTAACGTTCATTCCATATTCGAATATAACCAGAACAGAAACTGCATCGTGATACGAGTGTAGCAAATATTACCAAATGTATAATTTACGATCGAAAAAAATCAATTTGATTTGATGAGAATGCCAGTATGAAGTGACGTAAGCAAAGCGATTAGTGTTTCAAATTTGCTTGAAAAATGGTATATCTTATGCTGAAGGTGGACATTTCTGTTGACGAATTCAACACCTTCATTCCATTGTAGATATTTTCTAAGCAACAAATTGCTTGCTTTGCAAATTTTTCAGCCGAAATGCCATTAATTTGACATTATTGTGTTTTGAAGTATTCACAGCATACAAAGAAAAGCCATTTGAGCAGCTTAGCAATGCCATAATGAGTGTCTTTTGTTTTGCACGTTGTAAGAAAGCAATGTCATCTCTTTTTCTTTTTGAACTGCAAGTCAAACGTACTGCGTATTTAAAGTGAAAAGTAATGACGTACAACGCAAAAAGAAGTTCAAATGCTATTTTGATAATTCAAAACTATTGAAAATGATAAGACACCCCCTTGGCATCATCATTAAATTCCATTTAATGTGTCAATAAATTGCATTCGATGCGAATGGTGAATTGTGCAACTTTGTGCACAATGTTTGCTTCCTTATCCCCCAAATAAATGACCGTTGCAATTCAATAAACTATTTATACGACGAGTAAATGGTGTCGATTGCCTTTGGTGGACCGTTTCAATGCAATTTGGTTGGCTTCTTTTCTAAAGTGCATCGATGCATTCAACGATTGCATTATATTCAAGTTTGCAAGCGTAAAATAGCTGCTAACAAGCCATTTTGATGCGAAGGGGAAATGTTTAGCAGCGGAAAAAGTCGGGAAGAAAAGCCACCATTGAAAAGATGCTTTCAAACGAGCATGTACTTTGAGGATGCATTAAATGCAGCGCATATCTGAAAATTATGGTAGAATAAATGTTGGCCTTATTCGCATGGCTTGAATCGCGTGAAAAATGTGTGAAACCCCATAAAAAAGAATCATGGTCGCGCGCGCAGATGAAGAATACAAAAGCCGCTGTGGAAACGACACACAAAGATCTAAAAAGCTTATTATGGCATAAGCCGAATGAGAGCGTATTGCGACCACTTTTAGTAACATCGATGCAGCAGAAATTCAATGGAAAATTACAACAACGACAACGACAACGACAACGAGAGCAACAAAAATATACACATACAATGAATGCGTAAACACAAGGGACGACACAAAGTGAGCCAACAACACACTGTAACACTAACTGCAGATAATAAAACACAAGGCATAAGAAAGCGCATACCAAATAAAAAACAAGAAGATAAGCTGTTGACAAAAGAGCCGTTTTTCGTCTCACTTTTGCTCTCGCCCTCCCTTACATGCTCTCATTCTCCTGGCAATGATAACAAACGGTGAGCGCAGGAAGTGTATTTTTTTGCTTATGTGCATCGTGGCAAACGTTAAGCCACTGTATCGTGTATTCATGAGGAAATGTGGAATGCAAAGAGGATACGAAATGCGTTCTCTCTTTTTTTTCCACCATCACCAAGTTACTGGATGTGATGATGGTCCATAAGTGCTCATATACTCCTTGTTTATTCTCACCGACAAAAAAAAAAGAAAATCGAATGGGAAAAAAACTGTAGCGTTCGAGGAAATGAAAGCGAGCCCAATGTGCGCTGCATAAGATTCACGATACATTGATGAAAGTAAAAGCTTTGAAGATTCGATAAATATTAAATGATCTCCTTGCCTCGCTGTTTTGCTCTCACTTTTGAAACATAAAAGGGCGAAAAGCTTTTAGCTGCGATGCATATACATTGTTGGTGAATGTGACACGATCATGTCAAGTGCGTCGCCAGGACTTATTCGCTTATTCCCATCTCTTCTTCTTCTTCTCTCTTTCTCTCTCTGTCTTTTCAAATGACATGGAATTTGGCGTACGGTGTTTGTATGTGTCTATCTGTGTATGACCTTTTTTTTCAACCGATTCTTTTCACCAGAAGCGCAGCAACACCAAAGTTCGCCACCTTTTACGTCATTTTGCAAACAAAGTTTTCTCCCCGTCATTTTTAGCTTTAAAAACACCCACACCAACAACGCAAACTGAACGACCTGTTTCGCTCCTCGATGCATTTGACGTCAAATACAGTTTGAGTTTCAGTTTTAATTGAATTTGTCACCGTTACTTAAAAATCGCACACCGAAAGTTTTGGGGTTTACATAACCGAACATAACCAATAGATGTTGAGCGCGATTTGTAGCGATTTTCCAGTCGATTTGCGACCATTACGAAGTTGTAACATCAATAAGTTACATCGCATTGTGTCCACAGAATAAGAGAGAGAAAGAATAAGCAAAAAATTCATCATTCAAATCGAACCGAATAATGCTCACGGAGAGATAATTTGATGTAATGAAGAGGAATTCGCTATAAATAACACATTTTATCATCAATCTTTCATTCAATTTGCATGACAATAGCAATACGCTTTAGGATCTCTCTTTCATTTTGGCTCGTTGGTTCTCCCTACCTTTCTGAGAGGCTTTCTCTCTCTCTCTCTCTTCCTCCAGCTCTCTTCCCTTCTTTTCAGCTGGTCGGCTTTGGCTCCCATTTTATTATTGTTGATTGTGATATTTTCTGCTTGAACATTGTTCGGCTTCCAGTTTATGTTTATGGCACTTTCCAAAGAATAAATTTTCGATTACTGAACACATTTAGAATGTTATTCATTATTGATGGATTGCAAACAGAAATCGGTATACCATTTTATTTAAAAGGGATTTTGTGTTGTGTTGCCACACATCAAATCACGATAATTGTCGATGGCATTATAAATATTGGACCACCGGACAACAACTGAATCTGTGTTATGTGAATGAGTGGGTATTGTGTATGATTGAAGGGAAAATCGAGGTAAAATTCTATCAAATTCACCCCGTTACATCAATTTATGACTCATTGATTCAAGCGGCTACGATTTTTATGCGTTTATGAGGTGGTAGCATTAAACCGATTTTCATTCCACATTTTGCCATAAATTTTGCCAATTTTCGAGTGAACGGCTTGAATGACCATCGATAAATGACCGGACCGAACCGAACCGAACCGAACCGAACCGAACCGAACCGAACTAAAACGGAATTGTTGGCCAAAATATTTCACACTATTGACTCAATTTTCGTCCACATTTTTGAATAAGATTCGCATAAATATTCATGTAGAACCATATTTTCGATTTCTTTTTGTAATAAATAATATTTTCGCCCTTTCCCTTCGGCTGTCGAAATAATTGAATATGCATTCCAAATAACGAGAACGCGGTGGTCAACGGCTATGTGGAGGTTGAATAAAATATATACCACAGAACGAATCGCTGACATCATTAATATTAAATTACTTTAACACGAAGTCACAAGTGTGCCATCACAATTTCAAGACCGAAGTTCGCAAGCCATTTGTGTTTACCGTGTGCTGAAGATTGGTAGGAAAAACGTCTTGGAAATTGTTCGTACGAATGGTGCCAATTAATTGTGTTTTAGTTTAGCCAGTCCGAGCCGAAAAATAGAAGAAAAAAAATATAGAGCAAAGTCATCGATATTTTATCCTTCTCGGTGGGAGAGCCGTTTAACACTAAAATAGTATTTAGTGTTTCGGTTCTTATACTTTTTCGCTTACTCGCTTTGCCGCCTTTCAGCCGATTCATTGTAAAAATATTGGAGCAGCTCATTTCGGACCCAAATTACATGATTCAAGATATACATAAAATAAATGTTTATTTTTTTTCTTCGAAGGTCAGGTATAGGCACACACACACATGCATCTATCCGCACATAGATTGAGGGCAGAACAATTGCCATTATCTGGATTGAATAGTTGCAAAACCCGAACCGTTTGGCACAAGAATTCAATGTGTGTGAAATTCATACTGTGAATAGAAATTCGCTTCTCTGACTCGAAAACAGCGAGAACCAAAAGGATAGAAAAGAAGGGGAATGGTAGTTGAACCATCGCCTTAAAATCTTTGGAATGAAATAAATTCCACTTTTATTGAACCAAACATTGAGACACTGGAATTTCGTTACGTTTCACAATTAGCACTTCATCTGCATTATTTTCAATTTGACGTCAACCGATGTTGTTTAGCAGCAGTTTTCCTTCAAAAAATGCATGGCTTCAGTAGCTTCAGAATGAATACTACGCAGGAATATCATCAGCAACGAAAGTAAATCGAATTAAGCATTTTATCGTTACGACGGGTAGCTGAGGCGGGTAGTGAGATTAAATAAAATGCATATCAATCTAAGAGATGGCAAGTGGGCATGGTTAATGAAATCATTTCAAACCATTCTATGTGAAATTAATGGAGAAACTTGGGACAAATACACACGTATAAACTCCAAATGCTGGAGTTGAATTTTGACTTCGAACAATATTTCGTCGGAAATTTAATTATAATTTAAACTTTAGACTAGATTCAATTGACATAGAAGCGAACGTACGGCTCACCCCCACCCCCCCCCCCCCGTTGGCTCAAAATTAACTAATCGACGCATGGAAATTTTTTTAACGCAGCAGCCTCATGCTGAATCACTGAAGCGAAAACAATAGACTTGCTTGATGCCATCAAATCAAAAGCTTTGCTCAAAATTTGCTGAACATGCGACATGCGAGGGGCTTGTGACAGGCCGCTTGTCTTTGGTGCATTTGGTGTTACAACGCACACACACACACACACATACGTTCGAGAAACTCAATTCATACCTTTCGATGGAACTATTATTTATACTATGCCAAGAAAATGCAAAACTGACAACGAGCACATAAATTAAACAACGTTGAAATATGAAACTAATTGCATTCATTCGAAAGCAATTCATTTTAAAATGTCGACGGCATTAAAACCACTACCACCACCACCACCACCACTAATACCGAGTGTTCTGCTTGCTTTATTCGCTCGAAGACATAAAGAGTGTCTAGTGTCGATATTACGCTTGCTCGAATCCAATGTTCGTGCTGCTCCAATTTCCGTTTTTGACTCCACTGAAAGTCTGATGCGAGCTCGCATTCCTTTTCTATGTCGATTGCAATTTATTTCTAAATTAACTTTCAACATGGTTTCGCCTTTACCCGAACTGATGATCATTTCTCTTCTGTTGATTTTTTTGTGTCATTTGTCCCGAACACACACACACACACGCAATAGAAAAAAATAATCTTTTAATTAGATATGAGCTTTATCGGTTTGCGTACTCGATTAAGCTTTGAGGCAGTCAGAAATGTTACGGTTTATTTTTCAGTGAATATTTTCAAAGACAAGAAAAAAAATCGAGGAAATTTATTTGATGAAAAATAAAAATAAAATTCAAATTTAAATTCTATTCAAAAAGTTAATATTACCAGTGGGATATAGTTTGTATTGTATTTTCTTGTGCCATTTCAGAGAAATGAGACTTGTTTCAAATTCACTAAGCGAATGTTATGAACCGTTAATCATTCCACCAATTTCGATTCAATCGCTATCACGTTGGGGTAGACAAAATGAATTGCACGTTAAACCAACTGATTATTCGGCATTAGAAGGACCAAGACACCGTGCTAGCCCATTTCCACGTTCGGATCAAATCAATAGTCGATTCATTATCTGGTAAGATTGAGAGTGAGAGCATCTAGGCTCTCCCTCTCTCATACTGTCCGCACAAACAATGTCACACGGATGCTCTCTGTGTTCTCATTGTTTTTGATTGTTGTTCTTGTCAAATGATGTTGTTTTGTTTTTAATTTTATGCCTGAAAACATCAACCAGTCGAAGAATGATGTGCTGCATATTGCGTTATACTTTTGCAAATTTTCGGTTCAACTTTTTGAATTCAATTTTGTTTCTTGGTTTCTAACATAGTTTTTGGATTTTCATTTTCTTCGGATGTATCTTGTTTGCTTTCGGTCTGACATGACATTAGTGTCCTTGTCATTTAGCTCTTTTCTTGTGTTCGTCAACCCTCTTTATTAAATATTATTCATACTTTTCTCGCACACAAGTTTGATGTCGTACTCTCTCTCTGTCTCTCTCTCTATCTCTATCTCCCTAGTTCAGTTATCATTCGTTATGCATATTTAATTTACAATAAAAATTACGTAGTCTGAATAATTGCCTCTTAGCTCACACTGTTAGTGTATCGATGGATCATTCGGTGTAATGACTAAGCTTCGAATGCGCATTTGAACGAAAATAATCAGGCGATCAAAACGCAACCAAAACCGTTCGATGTTGCTGATATAGCCAACCAATTGAACTGAAATCGATTGTTTGGGCTCATCATCTACATATAGTTGCACAAAATGGGCTATGTTAATAATATATTACTAACATCTCCGATGTTAATAACGCCCTGTTTCGCGCACCCAATCGAAAAGAAAAAAATCCAGGCGACCAACAAATGTTTTTTTTTTTTTGAAAAAAATGAATAAACAGTATTGTTTTATAATCTTCCGATTTTTCTTGGTACGCGAAACAGGGCGTTATTAACATCGGAGATGTTAATAATATATCATTAACTGTGCAACTATACATCTACGAGCAGATAACGAGAAAATATAATGAAAACAATAAAATGGAACGATGCTATCACACACGATATTGACAAAGCAATGAAAAAATAAGAGAAAAAGCCAGATATATTTCGACCGATAATCGTGTTCAATGCATTTGAATTTATCGCGATGGCAAATGGTCATTGTCTGGCCTTCACTCATAACACCTACCTACAGTGCCAAATTTATTTTCGGCAACATGTACAACATATAGTATACACATCAAAATTTCAGAGGGGAATGAATAATCTAGATACAGTGCGAAATAGCGGTTTCAACTGTTTTTGGATGAATTTACACTAATTTTAGGGGAAAATGTGTTATTGCTTATGCGAACGCTCAAGTAGCTACTATTCATATACATGTCAATACATAGACACGCACTGTTCACCAAGTCTGTGCCATTGTATGTATTGAACGAGTTGCTGTGTACAAAATTTACAATACATACAACTGCACAGGCTTGGTGACCAGTGCGTGTCTATGTATTGACATGTATATGAATAGTAGCCACTTGAGCGTTCGCATAAGCAATAACACATTTTCCCCTAAAATTAGTGTAAATTCATCCAAAAACAGTTGAAACCGCTATTTCGCACTGTATCTAGATTACTCATTCCCCTCCGAAAACTTACAGTGTAATGATTATCCGATTACTAGTTCAGATTATGGGTGCTGTAATTACAAGAACCATATAATTCATATTATATTTATTGCATTGTACCCGATGTGACGAGCGAGGCACTCGTCGCTCGAGCAAGCGCACAAAATAGGTCAACATTTAAACGCTTACGGAACCAAATGTGTTTATTATACAGCAAATAGAATGGGGCGAGAAGGAGACAAAGCGTGGAGAGATTATCATTTCCAAGCGTTTCGATTATTCAATAATCATAAATACCGAATTGCAGAGCACTTACTCATTAATCCGTTAGATTTGATCGAATATTCCTATGTTTCTAATCACATTTCATACGACCAACTCAATTTCAATCAACACTATTCGGATAGCTTTGTTAAAATACACAACATCTCGCTCTCTTTCAGTCCATTCTTCATGAAATATTAAGAATGTCCATTCAAATCCATTCAATTTTCTTGAATCAACATAAGATTGCATGACGTTGATAGACATATCTGTTGGAAAATAATTTTCTGTTCTTCTGTCGGACATTGAACGGATTTTGGACCAACTACCATATTCAAATTTGAACAGAAACATAATCGAGGACACACAAATACTTCTACATTCAAAATGTAAACTTCAAGCCAAATCAAATAAAAACCAATGGAAACACGGAAATACCGAGAATGCATCGATGAATTTCATTTGTTTGTTTGTTTGACTGTGAACAAATCTTCTACCAACGTTACCCCAGCAAAGCCACACTATTAAAATCAATTCAATGATTGGTACACTTTTGAGATTCATAACACAAAAATAAACAAATCCAATAGAATCATCTATTTCGCTTGAATGCCCGTTCAAATTTTCTGATTCCAGTAACCATTAAACCAACATCAATTCGAACATCATTTCCAACATTTTCTGAACTGATTCAATTGTTTGAAAGAGAGAGAGAGAGAGAGAGAGAGAGAGAGAGAGAGAGAGAGAGAGAAAAAAAACTGAAATGGTCGAGTTCAGAAATAGACCGTGAACAAATCGAACAATTCCCGTCAATATTCATCGTTCTTGGTAATTGATCTAAGCTTAGATGTTTTTCAGTAATTAAAGATAATTTCGGACAATTTTCATTGTGAAATATGGTTAGAATAAGATTTTGATGAAAAAAAATAATAATTCTAAAATGCAACCGGTGTTAACGGTGTTTCGATTGTTTCATTCGACGTCAGTGTGTGAAATGATTCGATTCCCAATAATTGGAATTGGAAAAAACCAAAGTATTCGTGTTTTTCATTCCACATTTTCGTACGTTTTGAGTTAGGTATTGGCATGTGAAAAAAAAACGCGATGCCAATAGAATTTCAGTTGAATTGGTTGGAAAGTAGGCAGAAATCGATGTGATCGATGTGTCCTTACTTCGACGAATATCAAATCGATTAAAATGCTCCCAAATATCGCCGAATCATCAAAGCTCACGAATTCACCGAAACCCTCCATTGATGACTCAGTAAATGTTAGAGCATGTTATGGAATGTTGTTCATATAATCAGCATGCGCTCAGGGTCTTTTGTATTAAAAAGAAGAAGAAGAAGAAATAAACTACATTCTAATCAATTGGTATTACTTATCACACACACAAAAAAAGATACCCCAAACAACGCTGACAAAACCATACGTATTCCATCACAATTCGTGAATATTTAATGAATGCAATTGGATTTTCCCCGTGATTTGTCGTCTTTTTTGTGCCCGTTAAATTTTTCGTTGTCATTTTTGCGGCTCCTTCCTTCTTTTTATTTTTGCTTTGAATGAATTATTTGCGGCCAGGCCTACCTGTATTGGGCAACCGTATAATAGCCACCGAAAATTACTTGTATGTTGATTGTTTGCATTTTCGTGTCCAATCTTTTAGTTTTTTCTTTGTTTGAAACACTCACCTTTAGACGATTGCATGCCATTCCAAGTTTCACCGAAAATAAATGGTCACTTTATTTTTTTTTCTCTTTTCTCTCTCTTTTTTTGGTTCAAGTTAAATAAACCGCTTGAATTATTGCTTTCAACCGATTGAATATTATTTTCTATTTTGCATTTGATTTTGCGTTTGTCAATTTATTGATTTTTCTGCCGATAGAATGAAAAAAGAAAATGTGAATTGGGTATTATAGTGACGCGTGGCATCGCAATATTTCTACTTTCCGTCGATGCAATAAAAGACCTCGAAAGAAAGTGGGTTTATTTCGATGAATGAAATCAATTGATTTTGGCCGGCTGATTAAAATTCAACACTCATTTTTATTGGCTTTGAATATTCTACGGTTTTTGTTTTTCATAAGGAATTATTAATAATTCCCATTGGAAATATTTTCTTGATTTGTCTTTGAGAATATTTCGAGAAAAATTTTTTTTCATTATATTATTTTTGTCATTATTTTCTTTTTTTTTTTAATTTCATTGAATTATTTTTTGAATTTTATTTTAATTAGTGCAATAAATTGTGTCGAAAAAAAAGTAGTTAATTTGTATCAATTCACAGGGAAGGTGATATTTCGTTGATCGAATCTGATGCAATTACAAACACGACCGATGAAACATTAACGGAAAAGAATACAATATCGAGCCGAATATTTCAACGTGCTGGACCCGATCTATATGAGGAGATATTAAATGATAATCGAGGTAGGAAATTTGCAATGGTTCGCTTGAATTTGTAATAGAAAGAGTGTAACATAATTTGACGTTTATTTTTCTTCTCTCATTATATTTTGATTGAATGTGGTCACATATCCAGAGTGTAAAACTGGTGACGTTCGTGTAACAAAAGGCTATAATTTACCGGCAAAATACATTATACATACTGTTGGTCCTATATATACTGAACGCTACAAAACCGCTGCCGAACAAACACTTTACTCATGCTACAGGTGAGAGAGAAAATTATGCAAAATATTTCAACAGTGTGGGCAAGAGAGAATTGCCGAGATGATTTCACATTTCCTTAATATGTTCCATTGTGTGGCTGATTTTTCTTTTCTTTTGTCGATTGCCAATTTTAGAAATATTTTATGCAAAAGCCTTGAACTTGGCGCGAAATCGCTTGCCGTCTGTGTCGTGTCAACAATTCAGAAGAATTTTCCACCCGACATTGGTGCTCACATTGCATTACGTAAGACTCACGTTAATTTTGTTAAATTATTTTAAACCAAGAATAAAAAATACACACTCATGTACATTCATGTTTTTTTTTCTTCCATTTTTCATATTGCTCGTCCGATGTCGTGGGGTTCGAATGTTCGGTGCGTACAGGAACCATCCGCCGTTTTTTGGATAAATTTAAAAACGAAACAATTATACTTTGCCTTGAACCACACGAGCGTGGAATTTATGAAGTGCTAGCACCATTATACTTCCCACGTGATATTTTAGAAGAAAGCAGTGCATTGTGGCAACTACCGAAAAATATCGGGGGAAAATTTGGTGAACCGCAATTGGTTGATCGACAAATTCGCATCATTCACAACCCACAGCATTCCGTCATGATTAGCGGTATGTGCTTGTGCATTTGACACAGTGTTTTATCCTCCGCTTGGATCAAATGACCGTTTTACATGAATCTCCGCCATTTAAATGACAAATTCGATTAACTATTGCATAGGTTAACAACAAAAATATGTAAAATATATGTAGATAAGTGCGGTTGTTGTATGATGGAATTCCATCTTTGTAACAATCACCGTAGTATTGTATGCATTTTTTTTGGTCAATTCAGAGGACCATTGGGTGGGATAGTGAGGGAGAGAGAGAGAGAAGATGAGAGTATACTGAAGCGGTCTAACTTGTTGCCTTTCACTTTTTCCATCGCGATTGCAATCACAATCGCATGTGCACACCGCAAATCGCTTTGCACAAAATTTAATCTCCAAATGGATTTCATTGCGTTGAAAAGTGTTAAGTATTTGTGCTGGGTTATTCCGTGTTGTGACACATTTTTATCGGTTCTGTGGTGCTGAATCACATTCGGTTATCGATCAATAACTGCCTGTTATCATATCTATAGATTAAATTCGCCATTCGACCGTTTGAACCATTTTCGATGTGAAGCGACCAAGAATCACAATGAAAAATCATATACGCAGTCATGTTTAAATCGTCATTTATTTTGGATGTGTGTATATGAAACAATAAAAATTGAAAGAAAAAATAAAGGAAAACCAAGAGAATATATGCATAGTTATGTTTCCGATAAAACCGCATATTTCAAAACAAAGAGGTGGTTTTATTGGTTATTTGTTGTTTGCATTTGAATATTAGATTAAATTGAGATTGTGACAATATTCAGAGAATTGATAGAAAATTTGAATGTATAAAAACTATAACCAAACTGTAAAACTCCAAATACGGAGTTTAATTTAAGTTCATTTAGGTGCACCAAATTTGTTTTCATCTGTGTGCAATAGTGAGCGAACGAACAAACAGAAGTTCATCGACTAAAATGCCATGTAAATCAAATCGGTTTGACATTTTAATTGTTTGCATAGCGTCGAACGTGTACCGTATGGTATTCACATGTGTCGAACGGACGACACAATGTCGTTGTATGCGTAATTTAATCATAGAATACGAGCTCAAATCGTTGTTAAATGATTTCAACTGTTTTCATTCGACACAAAATCACAACACAAATATGATTACCATTCCAGCAAACAGCAAATAGATGACAACAATGAAACGGAATCGAGTCAGATTTTCTGTATATTTTCATCATACTTAGCATACACAACGTGTTTAACGCACGGTTTTTAACGCTATCATTGTGCATTGGTTTCATCTAGAGAGAAAGAGAGAGAGAGAGAGAGAGAGAGAGAGAGAGAGAGAGAGAGAGAGACCATTTTAATAGTTTTAAGTATCAAATATTTTTGGGGGAAGGTTCAAATTTTGCCATAAACAAACAAAATGATCAATGATTCATTTGAATTTTCATGTAAACGGTCAAAGCGATTTTTATTGATAATTTCAACAGGATTTTTTTCCGATTTCTATCATTATCTGAACTTACAGAATTGAAAATGTATAATTTAAACTGATTTTTTGTTTAATATTCCGTTTTTGAGCAGCCGACGACGACTCGGACAACAATCCACATGATTTCGACAATGGTGACGTTGAGTATGGTTTGAGTTCACATCTTTCCATTGGACAGCATTCGTTCTCGCAAATGCAGGTTGGTGCACCGTTTACTTTTGTGTGTACGAATGTATTCAATTAAAAAACTGATGTTAATGCCATTTGGTGTATTATTGTTACAGGGTGATTTGGATCGTCAACGTTTGCTGGGTAATCGTCAACGCGTAGGCCTTTATGAAAGTAATAATGATGATGGAGACTGTGAGGGATTGGAACATCAAGAACGGTAAGTCCAAATCGTGTGTATCACCATCGAAAACCGTTCCTTCACATAATCCCGTTGCACTCAGTCTACATTTTGTTCTCTCTATTGCGACGCGACACACACGAAAAAAACCTTCGAATTGTATAAAGAAATACGTCTAATATATGCCGTTAATAGGTTTCCTTCCAATATTCCCATGTATTGACAGGAATCCTACCAAACAACACATATACGCACATACAGTCATTGGCGCATACACAAACGTCATAGATGAGTTGACGTTTGTGTATGCGCCAATGACTGTACATGCGTATGTGTGTTGTTTAGTAGGATTCCTGTCATTATATGGGAATATTGGATGGAAATCTACTAACGTCATATTTTAGACGTATTTCTTTGTTTGATTCAAAGGTTTTTTTCGTGTGTGGAGAAGAAAATGTAGAGCACATTCAATTTATCGATCGTATAACCTCATTGATATGACTATGTCTCGACAATGCAATCTAGTCTAATCAAACTAAATATCTCTGGTCAAATATATCAAGCAGTGGGCCCAGCTAAAATCGACTGACGCTTTGTGCTCAACCAGCATATACTCTCTCTCTCTCTTTCTATATATACACACACAATGGGTTAACTGATAATTAATAGCGGCCATTTTGTTCCAACGAAGACCTTAATCAATGTATTAAGTAACATCGTTTCCATCGACTGATATCTCAACAGTAAATTGACATATGAACATAAGCAAAGAATCCCAACGGCATTTGTGACCGATGCTCATTATGACTAATCATACTGATGTGACTGTATCGAACTTTTTATATAACTGATTCCAAACACAAATTCACTTCTCATGACAGTTTTTCAATATTGAAATACGGTTGCAGCCAATTTGCCATTTTGGCTTGGCACACATCAAGTAGGGCAAATATTTTGCGCGTTACCAATAACATCGCCAGGGGAATATTTAGCGTCAATTTGTGTGAAATGAACATCAAATTAATGCGGAAATATAATACGCGAGTGTGATGGCTAAAGAATAGTACATCAAAAGGCTGTGTAACAATGAGGCGCCACTCAATTGAAACACAAGGTGGACAATGCACCATTGTCAGAGGCAGCTATTGTGATCATCATCATATCACTTTATATTTCATTGAAGCACTTTGATTTATTTCTTCAGTAATCAAGTAAATTTGTTCAAGCATACGAACAGCATGTGAAGTGTGACCATTCGAACGGCTGTGTTCTCTCTCTCTCTCCCTCTCTCTCTCTTCCTTTTTTTATCGCGCTAAAATTAGATTTGCGCAAGCAAATGGGTCGCCAGCGCTTGACAAACGCAATGAATCAATTCGGACACACACGCCTCCCATTTTTATTTTCATAAGCATAACAAATGTAAAATTAATATAAAACATTCGGTTGTTGTTATATTTTTGGGTAGAACACCAATTTCAACAACATGAACAGAGAAATGAATAATTTTTTGTCGCAACTTATGAATTTCGATAAGAACAAAGTGCCAAATTGAGTGTGCCATCGGAATGTATTGCATGACATTAAAATGCATATCGCTGTTGTTTGACAGATGTGCTCAAGGAATTCAACGAGTATTTGTGTTTTCTTTGCTCGAATCGTTGCAATCGTAAATTTCATGGGACAATGTCATAATCAAGCACATGAATAAATACAATTATTCGTAGTAAGCACATGGAATTTCATTTTTTTTTTTAACATTATGAACAACGGAATTCTGCGCCCAACAAATGACAACCAAGCGAATTTATTTCCTTTTCCAAAAACAATTTCGGTTACTTGCGTATACCAGGCTGTCGCGCTTCATGTTTTCGCTTGACCTTTGCGAAAAGCGGAACCAAATTATATTCACCGTGAAAATGGTTCCGTTCGAACCATAACGTTTGTTTTTTTTTCTTCTTCAAAACAATACCTACATACAATACCGATAGCCTTGTGTCACCGTTGTGTGCTCACCTGTGAATCCAAATTCAATATTATGATTGTTATTATTTCGTTCGTGTACCGTTAGCAGTGCAGCTTATGATCACATATGAAATCGATTGTCGGTTTATAAATACTAATAGATTGAAATAAGAAACGAAGGCGTCAAGTTAGGGTTTACAAACGTTTCGACAAATACCGCAAACGGTGTTATAAAAACGTTATTTTTCTGTAGTGTTTTTTTTGACAGTCCAAAATACCGCAGAAATAACGATAAAAAACGAAAAAAACGTTTTTTGGGCGGTATATAACGGCTCTGTAAAAAAACGTTTTTAAGAAACACTGAAAAAAATAACGCGTTTTTAAACTCTACGTCAAGTGCAGTGGGTTCCGTGCAAAAGTCACTCAAGTATGGATGGATGGATGACGCATACTTACTGATATCGTCTTCCTGATTCTTGTTTGCAATTGTTTACGATCATACACCATTTAGTGGATTTGATTTCATTTCACCACAAATAGATCCCAACCCGGTGCTGCTGCTCCTGCTCCTTTTTCATTGTATTTCTATTGTTTGATTGCAAGAAGAAAAAAACAGTCAATACAAAATAAAATGACACAATGAAAATGAACTGATAAATCTTTAGGTAAAACTGTAATCAAGAAGACTGCGTCTGACATAGTGAATTGAGAGGAGTCTTTCTTTCGTGAATGGAGGTAAAGAGGCGCTATGATTTGCAGCACCAAAGTATAAACAAAAGTCAAAAGTCAGTGAATGAGTTAGGTGATATAAAATCCGATTACAATGAGGTAAAAACTGACTAGGCACACTTTACTTACCTAATCTCTTGTCATACTGATGCATAGCGGCTGTAATAAAAGAAAACAATTAAATGAAGGTCGTTTTGCGATTCTGTGATAAGCAAATCGTTTCGATGACTTTAAGTTTTTTTTTCTGTGTTTGGGTGACACATCATACACGTGCATACGTATCATCTGTTAGATTTATTTTTATGGGCTGGCGCACCACTCCTTGTTACGCATTTATCGCCCACACAATTTCAAATCAACACAACGAGCTTTTTCTTCTGATATTCAATTTTCAATTAGCGTCAATTAAATGGAATTGGAAACGAATGGACGATTATAACGAGCGTATGCGAAGCCAGCACAGCTGACGCCAGATCATCCACCAAATTATTTCGATTCAATGAAAAGTTGCATTTATTTTTAGATTATCGTTTTTTCCTCTCTTTCTCTTCCCCGCTCTCTCTCTCTCTCTCTCTCTCTCTCTCTCTCTCTCTCTCTCTCTCTTGTTGTTCTCGTTTTATTTTCATTCATTCGTTATTTTCAATCGAAAAACGTAATTGGAGTCTTTACGCCATAAAATCGAGCCACAAGCGCTCACGAGCTCGTTTCAAATATATGTTACTGACAGGCGGTGGTTGACCGACAAGTGGACGAGAAATGAAGAAAGAAATTTTCATTCAAGCCATCATGGAACCTAAAAATAAACGCAAACGTAGAAATAGATAATAAAACTTACTAAATATTTCAATGTTCTGTTTGACGGCAACTAGTTACGTTAGAACAACGAAAAGTAACATTTGACATTTTTCCATCAACATGTACGCACTTTGATATACATAGAAAAAACGAACGAAAGCCATCAATTGATAAAGTAAATTTCATAAATTTTTCATCGATATTTTCTTTTCATACGTCAAACTCGATGTGGTCCTCGCGCGCGTATGAGTCTTTGCCTGTAATCTTCTCTACCGTTAACTTTCAGTCATTCGAAAAAAAAAAATTCCAATGACACATAATACGAATGGATAAATTGAAAGTGCATACTTTCAATCAATCGATATAAACATTCATTGCAAGTGCACTGATAAAATTGGCATGGCAGATGGAACAACAAATGCGGAGACGATGGAGAGAATGATGGGCATTGGACACACAATGTGTTTGTCCAAACTCTTTTCTACCATCACACCGTAAATGATTCAGTATTTTAACCCAGTTTCTCCATCTTCGATTCAATATTAAATGGAAAAATGCATATTGAATGCCTAGCCACAAGCAAGGAAACAGTATATTGACACACAACAAAGTCAATCATTGTTGTTTTCTATCGTTTTTTTTTTCTCTTCTTCTTATCGTCTATCTTGCATGCATCCCATTTTTTGTAATTTGTGTCAACGTTAGTTTCTGCGTTTTTGTTTTTCGTTTAATTACCTATCGAAAATGGCACAGTTTGGCGTAATTGGAGCACAAACTCATTTTCACAGAAATAGAGAAAAACTGACGGAATTAATACGACGCCCAGACCGAACTGCCTTTAATCCTTTGAAAATAACAACCGAGCGCTGTACAGCTCGCGACTATCCTCCATTACGTTATGATGACAATAAAATCATTCGCTCGTCGGTTAATCGTCTTTGGTGTAGTGTCGATTAGAAAGGGAAAAAAATTGTATGTCCCCCCCCCAACATTAAATGGGTGGCTCCTCTTCTACACTAAATATGCCCGTTTTATTCATGTACATGGTTCTTTACTATTTTTAACTAATCCAAAGAGCGAAAAATTCATCGCACATTTGGCCCAATGCTCTTGACACACTTATTTGTGCATAAATACACAGCCGGTGGTGGTGATACAAAAGCATTCCAAATCAACAATAAAACACCGCGAGCGAGCGTGAGCAAGAAAGAAAGAGAGAACGCGAGCAAATTTATTTCCATATATTATTGTGTGTGTACGAAATGGTGATTAATAAAATCGATTCGATACGAATTCGGCTTCGCGCATTCAAAAATTGTCCTCTCTCTTTTGATGGAGGATTCGAATGCATACCAACTTGTTACGGTTCTTTATGGTTTCGTAACGAATAAATATTCAGCGATATAATTCCTTTTTAAACAACGACGATAGCAGTGCAGTAAATTGGCCTTGCTTGTATGAAATGCTTCCACATGCCATATGAAAAAATTTCCATTTTGTACGATAAAATTTCATATCATATTTTATGTAAGCAATCTGCCATATTTACGTTT